ATAACAATTCCGTCGACCTAAGGGCCTTATATTTTTTACGGTAGGTTAAAAATAAACGGCACACGTTTTGTAATAAATAGAATGGTATTAAAAGTTGAGCGAAAGCAATTGCTGAAGTTTTACCAATTTGGTAGAATAAAGAGGGTTTCAATCAGTTACTGGCAACACAAACTAAAGCTGCGACACAACACACCTTCAACAAATATTTCCCGAAATTTTCCAATGCGTTAAAGGGGTGAAACTTTCATATGATATTGAGGTAATAACAAAGTATTACTTTTTATTCGACTCTTCAATAACATTCTATATTGTAATCCAAAATTAAAACATAACCTTACGTAAGATTCGAGCAACTTATATTGTAATTTAATTATTAATTAGAATATTTTGTTATACAGGTACTTAATTATGTAATGCAGGGTGTATTGTCGGTAATTTTAAATTTTAATTTCGCAAAAAATATCTTTATTGTCACTATTAATACATACTTATACAAATAGGCTTCTATATTATTAATATAAGTATAAAAGTGTTTCTTCTAAAGACACCACTAAATTTACTAGTAGATGTCAGATTACAATTTTGGTAATTACCAATTTGCAGCATTATTATAGATAATGTCTCCAATTATAAATTGGTAAATAAAAACATTTGCTTTTTTACTAAATATATCTATCTACCAATTATCTATATAACTTTCAAGTAACTATATAAATATTTTACATTAAATCCTACCTAATGAATTCATATGATTTATTTATAGCAGATATAATATTCATACAATGATAGTGTTGAACATTAATCTATAATTATATTCAATAATAACACCTGTACAGATAATAATAGGGTAGGCATCAATTGATTGATATAGTAAGTAGTAATTAATTCAATATCACTAACAAGCCGCGCAACTAATCAATCGACTAATCGTAGTAATTAATTGGACTCGACGTAGTACACGCCCGTGCGACTTCGATAAACTTCGATTGATTGAAGTTAATAGACATTAGGTAAGTTGTTACATTATTTGAACAGATATTATTTTGATAAAACTTACTAACTTGGTTATATATAGAAAATTCTGTTTTCTTATTCATGTACGTACTCAATTAGGGTCCAAATTTAGGTTATTGTTCATTTATTTATCCTAATTCAAGCGGGAGAAACTCTTGTAAATTTGGTTGCTATTTTTTGTGGAATGAAAATGGAATTGTTGAAACTCTGCACTACTGGTTTACACTAATGGGGTACTAGTGAGCCATGATAGGTGAATATACAGTCAGGTCAATTTCTACACAAGTCAATGAATGTACTAGGAATTAACTACGAATATGTTCGGAAAGACCTCGTGCAGGTTGACCTGATAGGATATATTGTTAACAATGAGTTGTAACCTCCTCATTAGTAAGAATCCTTTCCCTTAAATTGGGTTTTTTAAGACAGCTGTAAGCTACAATAATATTTGGACCATTATGAATATATATATATATATATATATATATATATATATATATATATATATATATATATATATATAATTGTCATCAATGTAGTACCATATATATACATACTTGTCACTGTCAAAAGCGGCAAATATTATGTTTGCCCGTAGCGGCAAAAAGGGCCCTATTATGCATAGAATTGATGAAAACCCATAAACGTATGTTGCCAGCTAGACGTGATATAAAGTCCGATGAACGAGGACTCACATCAAATGACATAGTACAAAGGTTCCGTAACTCGACGTGACCGTGAGTACCGACGTATCCCTTCATTTTGCGCGGGCGGCGCCGACGTCCGGACGTGTTTATTTTTCATTTCCGCTGGGCCCGGTCAGCCTGGGGCTCGCTGGTCTGTGGGACACTACGTCAAGTGATAAGAGGATAGCGATTTGACAATTGCAATCGCTACACCTGAATTGATAATACAAAAATCTGCCAATAACGCATCGGATACATAAATAGGATTAAGAATTATTATATATTAAATTTATTACTTTTTTTGCTACTTGTAAGAACAATAAATTAACATTTTTATTGTCTTCTAGTTTTTGTTAAATTAACCTATATTATTAATAGATATGTTTATTTCAAATCAAATTAAAAAAGTCGGTCAAGTGCGAGTCGGCTTCCGCAACGAAGGTTCCGTACAAAGTCATCAAGTTTTTTTTGTGAAATAACTACATAAATACGGTTTTCAGATTATTTCCTTTACTTGTGCTACATGACAGTGCTACTTACTAAATTTCATGATTCATTCAATACATGGTCAATAGGAAGTAACCCTATAAGTTTTGATTCCTTTATGAATGTCAAAATATGAGATATTATGATTATATTATGATAATAATATATATTAATTAGAATATGGAACATAAGCGGCCGTATCTTTTGATTGCGGCCATTTAAAAACTTCATTTTTTCACTTTAAGAGATTGTACACCTGAATATATGGTATTAATTTCAATTTGATACCTCTACGCGTTCCTAAGAAAAAGGGTCTTGACAGACGCACGGACGGACGAACAACGAAGTGATCTTATAAGGTTTTTTTCCTTTGGAGGTACGGAAAATTAATAAATTTTCCGTACCTCCAAAAAAAAATATTATTAAAAAATATTTATTTAAATATAAACTTTTAAACATTCCGTTATTTTATCTTCTTTTTTTAATTCATTGCAATCAACATTACATTAAAATATACCTCTTCACTTATTTGTGTTAATCGATTAATTTCTGAACTTTGATAAATCGTAGAGAGACCCTTTAAAAACAAAATTAACCGCTCTTCCTTCTTCACTTGTAATATTATATATGAACATGAGTGCAACGAGACCGTTAAAGAGCTAGGTATTTTTAGGATTATATCCATCTATTTTAATGAAGGTTAAACCAGTATCCCAGTAGAATAAATATTATATATATATATATATATATATATATATATATATATATATATATATATATACACAATTCCGTGACACGAGATTTATATATGCCACGATCACATCGCATAAAGTTCCAAAAATATTAAAAGACGCACTAACGCTTTTAATGATATTATTTTTTAAATGTGATACAATAAAGTATCTATATATCTATTAGTAATAGTAGGTATCTAATATTAATATATTTATGCTTTAAATCTATTTACATACAACTTTTTGTTACACAAAATCACTCCATTACCTATTCGGAAACATCCCTGGAAAAAAAAAGAATGTTAAAACATGAAAACTAGCGTCGTAGGTACCTAGTGGATGGCAATGTGCCGGTTCGTTTATCTCAATATCGTAGACGGACAAGCTCGTACGTGCTCCAACGAAGTACGAGACTGAAATAAAATAGGCGATATCGCGACGCCCCTACGACAAGAACAATTTAACTTAACAATTGTACTTCTAGAGTACATGATACAGATAAAATAGTTATTTTATTTGTACCACATACACGCTCTACTACTACGTAGAAGTACCATTGTTTTTTTTAATGGATGATAATGGAATGGTAACCCCGCTTGCGCTAACGGTATACGCTGGCGGGGTACCAGTGAGGGATGACCGGTGAGGTAATGAATTCACTTGATATGATAGTTTCTAGAGGAAACCTCAAAAAGATCGACCTGATAGAGTGTATTCCTAGCAATGGGGCTAAAAATGTATTACGATGCCATATGTATGGGGAACTAGGAATCGACATTATTTCGTTGAATACTGAATATATATATTTTTATATAACACAAGAGGGAAACGAAGATACGGTTCACCTGATGGTAAGTGACCATCGACGCCCATAGGCATCCGTAGCACCAGAGATATCGCAGGTGTACTGTCAGCCTTTTAAAAAGGAATATGCTCTTTTCTTGAAGGTTACGATATCGTGTCGGTTCAGTAATACTGCTGCTGCAAGTTAATTTCAAAGCGTAGTTGTGCTTGGAAAAAATTGTCTTGAAGAACGCACGGTAAAAGACTGCCGTTCATCCAGATAGTTGGTATGGAACTTTAGTTTGTGGCGGTATTTGGTGAAATTTAATAGCAAGTATCAATCCGAACAATTCCTCAAGACATCCCCTCCCCCTGATATATTCGATAAAATATGCATAGAGATGCAATGTCTTCACGCAGTTTCAGTAGGTCGAGTCTACGTAAGACGTTGATCGTCAATAATTCAAGCTGTCCGACTTTGAATGCGATCCAATGGAAGAAGCTGGTTCGGTAGCGCTCCAATCCATAAGTAAAAACTTGACCTTTATACAACTGCATGCAGTGCTCCGGCGTGAAATACTGAATATATTACGTATATCCATAGATATTCTCAATATATTACAGGTGTTATAAAACTGATCGAAGTCTGCTTATAAATTGTCATCCACTAAATCTAGTCTAAATACCACATCCACTAACTCCTGCAGCAATTTTGAAGACATCACGCAATCCATATTTGCTTGAATTGCAAATCTTTCTTCTCTATGGCTCTAATCTTTATTCCCTATGTTGCTTGCTAAAGCTATGTGGCCGACCTATATCAGTTTAGCTTTAATTCCGCGGGTTCTGAATTCCATCACGAAACGATACTCCAAGCATAGCCTTCTCCCTAGTCAGCTGAACAAATTTGAAGAATTCTCATTCGACAAGCAATGTATTCATTTATTTATTTATAAATTGCTCACTATACTTACAAAAGCTTTCCCCTTAGGGGGTTTTGCTAGTAGTTGCCACGCTTGGCAGGTGGATTAGCAACCACAGTTAGGCTTTGAAGATATTTTAAGAGAGACGCTGCTGCACATCTCTCGCCCTCCTTAGTCACCTGTTAAAACGCCCACGGAAAAGGAAGGAGTGGTATTTATATTTCGGTATATTTCCATCAGTCAGTTCTTTTGTTTGTCTTTAAACTGAAGTGTTTTAAATATGAAGATATGGTGTAAACTACTTTATTATCAACTGACCTACAGGAATTCTATCACTCAAGAAACTACAAAAAGATAGTAAAAAATACAAGATATAAATTTTGTAATCTTTATTAGAAACAACCTCACTTTACAATACAGTTTGTTACAAGTTGGTTGACCAGTTTTGTTTTGGTTGTGAAAGCTGTTGTGTCAACTTGCGTTATCAATACACATACCTATCGAATCTAGACATAATTATTATCACTTTAACAAATAACAGATTACACACTGCACGTTATAGTATGGTGCAGATGACAGCTGACAATTTGGCAGTTTTTACTGTACTAAAAAAATTGTTTACATTTCCCTAATAGGTATCATAACTGATATGAGTACTTTTTACGGTCAAATATTTTATTAAATCCGTAAATTACGTTTCATTATTATTATTTTTTTACATTTAATGACTTGTCAATCACTCCATACTACAACTCGCAGAGCATAGTACTTTTAGATTTATTAATGACAGAGAGTGACTACCTTTAATCACAATTCGCAAAAAATATGAAAGTTACAAAAAATATAATTTATACAATAATTTACTTACTCTCTCGTCTATTATCACAGTCCAAAGCTTAAGTTGTGATAATTATAACAATACATAGAAATAGTGCTAAGTGAATAAAAATAGACCTTTTAATATTGATATAAAAAAAAAACCCAAGATTCACAATCCACACTGAACAGTTCTTATACGGCGAAGCGTTAGTAGAATCTAATATATGCATTAAATAAAAAAATACACATCTAGCCATTCTATTTTTAGAAAATTAAGAATGTTTCAGCATTATCATATGAGCCGTTAACTGTCCACTACTAAACATAGGCCTCCCCCAGGCTGCCATAACTGGCAAGCCCATTGCCCCTTCAGTTTGCTTATTGTTCGTACTTAGGTTCTTTTGCATATTTCTCACTAGAAATATCAGTGGATGGTTAGAAACGAGTATAATGTTCATTAAATGCGCTCTATTTTCCATACCGCTTTCTTTATTTGTAATTGTGTATCTAGGATTTCTAGTAAATCAATACTATTTAACCTGCATTGTCCGTCGCTTAACATTTTTAAGATCTCACCAAAGGTTTGTGGTTTATTTTAATTATTAAATTAAAACATTATATTTAGGTCGTTCCATTAGCGGTTTTAAACAAATTTATGAATAAAATACGCAGTCTTACAATAATGTTATATACAGTACACTAAAAAATGTATAGGATCATATCTAGTACCTACGTATATATAAGTACTAAATGATTTACAGTGAAAGTGCTGTCACTAGAGATATTGTGAAATATTTAATTAGTTTATAAACTGATTTAAGTAATGATCCTATATAATTTAACAGTATTTTCGAATGCTGAAACAAAAATCAATTATTCAAACAAAATTTTCTATCCCATTTTATAGGGTGGCAAAAGATAAAATTAGTAAATCGCGAATGGTCTATGAAAAATTCGCTGTGAAAAGATGCAGCAAATTTTTCATATCACTTATCAACAAGAGGTCGGAATAACCACTTTACACTATTCATATACCTAACGATTTAGACCCAGCCCTGTTTAAGAAGCCTTCTAGCTAATTTTAAGGTACAAACTATCTTAGGAAAGCATTATTAAAGAGAATAAAGAGAATTAGCAAAGAATAATATATTTTATGTTACAATCAACAACCATATATGAACATCTAGTTACCATAGCGACCTAAACACAGATATATAATTACACTGATTTAAGATCACTAGACGTGCCACATACTGGAAGTGCTTCCATAACATTCCCTCTCCTTTTTCAAGCCAAACTCATTATATAGCTTTATTAGCATTGGCTTGTAAACAGGCTTCGTAAGAATATTAGCAAGCTGTTCTTCAGTTGATACTTCTTCTATAGTGACTTCTCTTTCACATACACAGTGTCTTACACAGAAGTGTATCGGCTTTATGTGTTTTGCTTTATGGTGTAGTTCATATGATGGATTATGTACTAATTTGATTGTAGAGTCAATGCGTAGAGTAGGCATATTAAGATTCATTTTTAATTTTAAATACTCATTTGCATTGTAATCCTTTTCTGTTCTTTAGCAAATCTGTCATTTTCAATGTCTCATTCTCATATAATGAATTTATTTCTTTATTCATTGCCTCAATCCACTTATCCTTTTCAGGACTGTTTAAGACTTTTTGGTATAAAGATGACTCAGAAACAGATATAGCCTCATTAATAACTTCCTCAAAATTGAATCTCTCAGGAGGTTTAATTCGGCTTCGATCACGAAGTTGTCGCCCCATCGTTGCCTCTATTTCATTTTCATCCCTTTCATTATCTTCTCTAAACGATTCAATATTTTCATCCCTACCATTTGCCTCTATATGTGAATTTAAATGAGAATTATCATCAGTTCCACAATTTGCAGAAGGTATTGGTAGTACATATGTTTTATTTCCTACTGGCTCTACATTAGGTTTTTCTGGAGGTTTGTCAATCTTGCGTTTTTCTAGTAAAGATTTCTCATCAAATACTACATCACGTGATCTCATCAATTTCAGATTTTTCACATCGTAAACTCGATATCCTTCATCTCCATCATACCCAATAAGTATTCCTTTCTCGGCTTTATTCTCTAACTTTCTCAATCTTTTCTGTTTTGGGATATGTACATAGCAATTGCATCCTATAATTCTGAGATGATTTATTTTTGGCTTTTTATTATACCATAGCTGATGCGGTGACTTTCCATCTACTGGAGTTGGTCCCGTTCTATTGAGTATATAGACTGCAGCTTTAGATATTTCAGCCCATAAACCGTTTGGTATCTCATTATGAGCATGCATAAGTGCTCTTGACATCTCCACAATTGTACGATTTTCTCTTTCAGCAGAACCATTTTGTTCAGGAGTATATGGCATTGTCAACATTTGCTTTATTCCAAATTCTTTCAAAGTATTACGTACCTGTTCGTTATCAAATTCTCCTCCATTATCGCTTAACAACCCTTGAATGACGTGTCCAAAAGTATTAACTTCAGCTAGAAATTCCTTCAAGCGAGCATGTACCTCTGACTTGTGTCTCAAAAAAGTAGATCCAACGATATTTCGAGTATTGATCTTTAAACAGAACATAATATTTAAATTTTGAAATTGAATAAGAAAATGGTCCACAAACGTCTGTGACAATTAGCTCTCCAGGTTTGGTAGCTTTAGGTCTTTCTCCGAACTTCTTTCTGTGGCTCTTGCCGAAGATACAGCCTTCACAAATGTCAGCAGAACTGGAATCTAGCCTTATTCCAAGCTCTTTTTGTATTAATTTAGCTACATGACGACAATTTTGGTGCCCTAAGCGTTCATGATACAGCTTAAGATTCTGTAGCGTCGATAACAGATTTGCTTCATTTTTAGGCATTAATAGTTTTACATTTAATTTATATAAACTACCATGTTCCTTACGATTTCCAACCAAAATCACTTTACCATTATTCTTCATACAACATGATCGAGCAGTTGATTGAAAAAAAACTATTTTTAAGCACATCTTGCGCAGCTAGTACAGAGAACAAGTTTCGTTGTATACTTGGTACATACCATACATTAGTCAATGTTATCAACTGTTTTTGTCCATTTACATCAGCTTCAAGTTGGATAGAGCCTTTGCCAATGGCTTCAATTCCGTCCCCGTTAGCAGTCGTAATTGTATGAGGATCATGAAAGTACTCGAAAGACTGGAATACATCTCTTCTATTAGTTACGTGATTTGTCGCGCCGTTATCTACGTACCATGATTCTTTATGAAGATTTTTATCATTGCAAGCTAGAGCTAGACCTGTCGACATTACTGCATTCGTAGATTGCTTTTGAGATTTTGGAGGTCTACCATCCGCAATCCACTTTTTACATGACCTGACTTTGTGAAACCCTTCTCCACAATAGTTGCATTTGAACTTTTTCTTTTTACTTTGCTTCTCATTACGTTTCTCACCTCGTACCATAAGAAGTTCATTGCTACTTTCACCTTCATCTATATTTTTCTTTAAAGACCTTTCATATGCGCACAGCTGAGTAGTCAAGTTCTCTATCGTATGATCATTCACTGACATCAAGGCCCAACTAGATTTGAAATTGAAGTACTCCTCAGGAAGTGAATCCATAATTTTACATATCAACAACATCTCTGGTAGTTCGGTCTTGCCTTGTTTCATTAAGATCAGATTTACTTCATGCCATAAATTCTTTGCTGTAGTCAAGTGTGTCCCCATATCGTGAGTAGGATCAAGCTTGTATCCAAAAAATTGCATGCAGACATCATAAAAGCGATCTTGTGATACTCTTTCATAAAGCCGGTTCAGTTCATCCCAAGCTTCTTTAGCTGTAGTAAAACGCATAACTTTGGCGAGCATTTTCTCTGTCATATTGGTGGTGAGTAGTAAAAATGCAGTGCTATTGATTCGCTAATAAGCATCGTACTCTGCTTTATAAGTCGATATAGCTCCCGGTGTGGCAGTGGTACTTGGATGTGTTGGCTTTGTGAGTGTCCCTTGAACCGCTTCCAAGGCTCCGGCGTGTGTTCTCAACAGCATCAACACTTGAAATTTCCAAGTGGTCCAGTTAGTTCCGTCGAACGGTCGAATGTCGAGTTTTACATTTGTAGACATGTTTACACTCTCTCCGAACCTTTGTTCTTTACAAACTATCTATTTACCGAGGTCGTGAACGCTCTGCTACCATATTAAAGAGAATAAAGAGAATTAGCAAAGAATAATATATTTTATGTTACAATCAACAACCATATATGAAGATCTAGTTACCATAGCGACCTAAACACAGATATATAATTACACTGATTTAAGATCACTAGACGTGCCACATACTGGAAGTGCTTCCATAACAAGCATAAATTACTTATACTTTGGAAAAGATAAAAGTCTACGAATCACAGTTCCCGCGATTAATACTTTAAGCGTTAAGATAAATTGCTCGCATAAGTTGCCTAGTTTTTACACAACGATGCCTAGCGATACAACTAGGGCATATCTATGTTAGGTGTAATTCTATCTACCCAAATTGGAGGCATGCTTCATATCCGAGTAGACTGTCTACCTATCCTATATAATAGAAAGCCAAATATTTCATCATAATAAAATAATTGCGTATTTTTATTTTACAAAATCATTGAAATTGCCAATCTATTATTAGTTAGGTTAGTTCAGTTTTGATGTTTGAATCGTGTTGTAACTTTATTAAATTTATTGTTTAAAGTTTTATAAAACTATGAGCGACTGTAACGCGAGCGCGAGTTTGGCTGCGAATGATTAAGGGTCCCGGATAGTCCTGAAACTAGTCAAGCTTCTCGACTAAAATATACGTAAATTAAATAGGTAGTTATTATACTGAAAAACTTACATGAGCATTACTGTGCTTAAAAAACTATTTTGATAATAGTTGCAGCACAGTTTGACATGAACCTGAGTTTATGAGACAGCTTAGTAACTCTAAAACATCTTCAATTATTCGATCTATTTTTAAATCAACAAAACAATCTCCTCCATAAAATTCTGTCATTTTGTTTTCATCGCGCCTACTTATTTAATATCCAACAATAAAAACAGTGTAAAATTTTGATATGTTTTTTTTTGTAAGTATAATCTACAGCCAAAATATTAATTTTCATACAAAACACGAGTTCAAAACAAGCGTTCCTACAGAATTACTGGTATTTAGCAGCGTGAAATAAGTGCAGTTATGCATTCTTTTAATGATTATACTATGTCAATCGTATATTTATAGTTTGATAACGAATGAAACCTTGACAATTTAACGCAGGACGGTATGATATATGCTCGCCTCATAGGCGTATTTAAAAGAAGAGCGGGTGTACCGTGCCCACCCTAGAATTATCTGGTGTCCACCCCAGAAGACAAAGAAGCTTTGCAAAGACATTGTACATAAGAGTACGTATGCGTACTTTTATAAGGGGCCAGACCTTCTCCCCTCCCTGCCCCCTGTAAAGTAATCTTAAATACACCAATGGCTCTCTTATTATAATTTACTCTAAATTATAAATATGACAAAATAAATATAATTGGGCATACTTCACAGCGCCATCTAGCCGACATACTAAGTTAAATTATGGGTACTGGACAATTTTTTTTATAAGACAGGAGGCAAATGGGCTTGCGGCTTACCTGATGGTAAGTGACTACCGCCGCCCATGACCACCTGTAAAACCAGAAGCATTGCAGGTGTACAGCCGGCCTTTACTAATACATCTAATATAAATATTTTTTTACATACATACATATTACACATAAAAACCATCGAGGGCAATACAAATAATGTATTGTGCAGGTATCGAACCTGCAACCGTCGAAAGATGAAACGGTGTGTTGAACCGTTACATTACCGCCTGGCGATTGAAGGCATCCAATGTGTTCTCTGTACATTTGTACAAGATTACAATTATCTGTAACCGAATCTATATTATGACAATCGTTTTGTACATACAAATTATTCATATTTCACGCTGTTATTTATACTGTGATCTATCTATATTGTATACTATAGTAAATTACACAAATTATTTCACAAATTTAGTATTACAAATTATTCTATATATCTTTGCCATTTTAACATTTAGTGTATAAACTAAAAATTATTTGCCGGTTAATTATTCGCATGTAAGTACAAAATTATCTATATAACTAGTGATTAAGTATTAGATTCATAATCGAAAAATATAACATATTATTTCTATAATAAGCAATGTTATTGTTACAAAAAAAATATGAGGTAAGTACATTAGAAATGTTAATCACCTTATATATAAGAGTCAAAGGTCTAACAGCTACTGAAGTTATCCGTCTCTTTCTAATTAAATTTTAATTTGAAGGAAAGGACCATAATATTTTTAACTTTTCATAAATAGACAGGTATCAGTAAATATGAATTGCTTCGTGGAAGTACTTATTTGTTTACTTCTAGCCTATTATTAGATTGTTTTTTATTTTGATATTTTAGATTTTATATTTAAATTTTTTACTCTGTAAACTATGTTATTGTTGAATCAGATAAATTAGCACTTTATTCTGATAACATGGCACTATTTTAATTACTATTTGTATTATTATTTTTGAAATTATAATTCTGAAATATTTGAACATAATTAATATTCCACTTACTGTTTTAAAATACCAAAGAACTGGTTCTGTTGTAGAATTTCTTTATCTAAACATAATAATAAATGTTTTCTAGAGAATTCGTGCCTTGAAAGTGCAAAGATTTGATTACAATAGTCATTACGGTCATCAAATAAATCAAATCAAAACAAAGGTCCTTAATATAGGTAAATATATACTCTATAAATATAATAATTATGGTAATCAAATAAATAGTGCGTAATTTAGTTGCTATACTAAAACACTAAAAATAAAAATAATTTCTCACAAAAGTAATTTGCTCAGAAACATTATCCCATTATACATAAAAACGTTAAAAGGTCAAACCGCTTCTATCTATTGGTATATGATTTACATCTTTATAATGCAATAAATTCAATTAAGTGACAAACCACATTACTAAAATAGGTTTACTGAAAGACTTACATTACAAACCGAACGGTAGTCAACAAAATGACGTTTTAAAAACTAGTAAACAAATCTATTCAAATAAAGATTATTTCTATTCTTATTTATTTATGTATTCTTACGTATGTAAGACGGTTAATGTCACTCAACAATTTCGGCAAACTAATGATCTCTCAAGATCGATTTTTTTTTTCCATGACCGAACAAGATTTCTGTGGTAATGTTAATAATTAAATTATATCTTACAAAAAAACGACTTCAGTTGTGGCATAACCAGTTATTATAGTTTTAAAACTACTGATCCGATTTTGGTATAATTTCTAATCTATATCCTTTCAGATAAAAAAATAATTTTCCAAATCGGTTTACACCTAACAAAATTATAATGCAACAAACATTAAAAAAAAAAACATAAAACCGAATTGCGAACAAACGTTTTTTGAAGTAAGTTGAAAACGAGAAAGTCACTTACTGTGTGATACATCAATTTATTTGAAATAATCAATATGTATATAAAAAATAAATGCTCAAAATATTTTTATTAAAAATATTAACTTGTAGATTTGTTTTTTCAGGAAATTTTATATTAAATAATGTTATATTATTTAAATATAATCACCGTCTGGGTAAATAAAGAAATCAACAAATAGACTGTATAGATATTATGCTAAACAATTGCAATACATAATATAAAAATAATTATATTTAAGCCTAGTTCTATTTTTACCTTGCACACAAATTTCTTGCACTAGATTACCCTCTAATTATTTTCTCTCTCATTGCATTAGATTGGCTGGAAGAGATCTCTTTCAGAGATGACTCCACCCTTGCTAACAAATTTTTAAACCAATTGCTGTTTATCTTTATGTTCAAGTGTAATAAACATGGTAGAGTAAAAATTTAAGTCTTGTATTTTAATTCTCTGTTCTTTATTCCGAACTAAAATTAATTTAAGACGATTAAATCTATGGCAAAAAAAAAATAATACAAAAAAAACGAACACTAGCATTTCTTAACAACAATAAAAAAATATTTAAAAAAAAAATGCTCACCATTCATTAATCAAAATACGATAAGGAACATGTTACTTTAATTATATCTAATGGTTTAATATAATAATGTAATAATTGAAAAGTCAAATGTCCTGTGTCTAATAACAGAGATTCAGCAGAAAATAATTCGTGACATGAATGCAAAAATTTAATGAATAGAACAACACTGAATTTACATTAGAATATGTAACTGGAACAACGAAATAACGTAAACTAAATATACCTAACAGATGAAGTTTTCCTTATTAAAAGAGAATACGATAACGTTAATCTTATTACATGCAATGGAATATAAATTTGTTGAATTAAAATTGTAATATAACAGATAGCACTTCGTAAGAATCAGGGACGCAGCATACTTGAGAGTCGACACTGAAGGAACAACAGAGAAAAGATTGTTTCGTGGAGGTTATTTGGATTGTCATGAATCTGCCATACACTGGGTTAATAATGAACAATCTCATGGCTGATGACTATTAACGATAGAAGACATACTATATAAATATTATTTTTAATGAAGATATGAAACAAATATAATGGAACATGTTGTTAGTACTTTCAATAAAACGAGGAAAACAGAAAAATAGTTTATCAACAATTTGAATTTTATATCGCGTTTAAGGAGTTACAAATCATTACTCATAAAAATAAAAAAATAGAAATGTAAATGCTCTACGTTAGTCAACATGTTGTTAGTTAGTTTTGTAGACTATTAATTGTGAATCTTTTAGCAGAAGTCACTAATTGTAATTATTCTGATATAACCTTCGAAGAGTTATTATGCAAGTATAAACAAGTGTGTGATAATTAATTCGTGGCTAGGCCGTATAGCACAACGATGAACTTGCACATCTCGTGAATGCTAGATACACTAAGCAATACAGAAAATATTTTTTTCATTTTTAAATTTTTTTAATAATTCCATTCTATTTAAAATAGAATTGAGAATAATAAATCTTTGTAAATTTATTAAATTTAATATATTAATTTAATGTATTAATCGAAATCTTAAGCATCCTTTTAAAGTTTTTGCACTACGAGTGAAACTACTAACATGGCGAGTCCATCTCTTAATTTACCTCTAAATTTATTACCGTTTTCAACCCATATTTCTTTGGGAAAAAATATTTATTTTCACTGGAAAATTACTTGAGAAGAAATACTTGAAAGAATGCTAAATATAGGTTGTCTGCGTTAACATGGCATGCTCACTTTTTACTACAATGTATGTGACCATATACATACATTGGTTCTCTGTTTGTGTTTGTGAGGAAACATCTTTAGTAGCAGTCAGGCCAGAAGTATACCTATTGTATTATATTCCTTGGTCGATACTTTGTAAATATTTTTACTCACACATTTTTATTTTTTGAATTTTGAAAGAGCGTGCCATGTTATCGAAGACCATCTATACTTCTATTTCATTCTGACTTCTAAACTATAACAACTTTGTTATACGTATAGAGAAGATAGTCATAATAGTTATCCAAATGTAATACTTCGAATCAGAAGCAAAGATAAATATATAATAACGTAAATGCAAACCATATTTCAACAATCACAATCTGGTATAAATACGTGACGTAACATCTAAACAAATGAAAATTATAATATTGACTTACTACCATTATTGGACCAATTGATTAATGTGTCTGTAGAGGCATCTTCAATGTCCAATAGAAGATTGTCTTTATTATTTGCACTGGAAGATTCTGTGGGACTGTTCAATACAATATCTTCATCGTTAGTTTGTAAATTCACGTAAGACAATGACTTTTTCTTCTGTCCTAAATCAAATATTTCTAAATCTTCGTCCTCGTCTTCATCGGATTCCATTGTCAAAGGCACTCGCGATAGTTCCAAATTGTGCCTTTTATCCTCCGATTGTAGAACACCATATCGGAACTGGTTAGTGTCGTTCAAACTGTGTGAATTAGCAGCATCGTTTTTGTTGCTCTTCATCCTGGAATATAATATTATATAATTATTATTTTTAGTATTATGAATATCAGGTATCGAAATCCAATATTAAAACAACGATCCTGCGCCAACCGTTGACGGGATACATCATCATCGTATCGATCCGTAACCGTCCACTGCTGAACATATGTTTACCAGTAGTTGCCACGCTTGGCAAGCGGATTGGCAACCGCAGTTAGGGTTTATAAATGTTTTAAGAGGGACGCTGCTGCTACCCATCCCTCGCCCTCCCTTAGTTGCCTCTTACGACACCCACGGAAAGGCAGCGGACTGTTCTGTTACGGGATACACATAATGCATAATTCTGTCTCATTCTATCTCATAACGCTGAGCGCATGTTACCTATGTGTGCACTTCTTTTAAATTAAAACAGCCTTAGATATTTTGATGTACAACATTGTTTCAGATACAATATTTTTTTATTTATAACAGTTTTAAAATAAAAAATTAATTCCTTAAAATCTAGCCATCAATTACCTGTACATTACTCGTATAAGGTAACACAGACTACGGGAAAGTTTACAGGGAAATATTAGTATCGACAAGCGGTCCTGTTAATAACATTACAAATCATATTATCGAGTTACTTCCTGGTAAACTTATCATGATGCGTCAACTAACTTAACTTTATCCTCACCTGTCGTCTCTTTATCTCTCAATGATTCTCCGCTAGCATAAACCAATAGCGCAAGTAGAGTTACCAAAGTGAAATTGTTTCGTCGATTGTTACCTCTTAGTTCCTTAATGTCAAATCAATATAAAATTTGGTGTTATGCATATTTAAAGGACAGAGTCTACTTTAATAAATAGACATATAAATCGTTATCCATTAAAAAGCTATGGGAATATTGAGGGCGCAATATTTTCTCTTTCCCAATGCACTATCCACTCCTATTCTCCATAGATTTTTTTTTTTCTGTTTTATTATAATATTAAGATACGAAAACTCGAGAAATTATGATCGTAATAAAAAAAAATAAGTAACACGTCAGTTACTACAGACGGAACATGTTTCTTACACAGGAATGTTTACATTAACAATTTAATCATTCGATAAAAGCGTTAAATATTTATTCAGTGCTTGGTATGTAGAGATAATTTAACCAAAATATCAACTACGATTGCGTGACTTCTGAACTGAATTATTACTTTGCAGAAATTTAAACCTTATTATAAAAGTATACAAACATAGTATACCATTTAAAAGTACTCTGACAATCTTGTTTAACTGTAAATCGATAAAAACAGCAAAAATACTAAAAATCAATATTTTGCGATGATAAAAAATTACTTTAATATTTATTATTATTATCCGAGAAGCAGTTGTGTTTGCATGACTGTGTTTCGGTTTGAAGGGTGAGATATGGTAGTGAATTTACAGGGTACAGAGGAATAACACCTGAGTCCTCAGGAAAGGCAATGCATGGGGCTTATCATAGGCGAAACAGTATACTGTTATGACCATAGCACTGCTCATATCTATAGGCGACGGTTACCACTTTCCATCAAGTGGTCTATCAACTTGTTTGCCATTCTAGGTGCATAAAAAATGTTGATTAACGATAAATGGATAAGAACAGCAAAAATACTAAAAATAAATATTTTGCGGTGATAAAAAAATATTTTAATATTTATTATTATTAAATAAGTGCATGCATGCATTTTACACGCACACTTATACTTAATAATAGTTCATTTCTTGGTCGAGTCAATTCATAAAAAAGAGCAATTGAATAATAATTAAACTTTTAACCGTTTTAATGCCGTTCTTACTTATATCTACTTAAAAATGCCAAAGAAATCTTTGTCGTGTTGATGTCATTTACTCTTGTCTCTAAAAAAAAACTGTATATCCTCCAAAAATTATACAATTTTAATATTTTTTTTTTTACAGCAAGCTAAACAGCGACTGATTTCACAAGCGCTATGACGCTCGTGGCACTTTTAGTTGCAATGCGCATGAGCGCGATGACGCTCGTCGGCACTCAAAGGGTTAATAATGAATTAACATCAACATTATGCTTGGTATAGTCCTATTCTCATATAAGGAGGATCTAACCAAAATTTTATATCGTCATCATGACAAATCAACCTAGATAGATTCTAAATAAATAAAATGGAGGTCGACTTAGCCTGATATATTTAAAAATTGTGTCCCACAAAAAAATACCGACTTCAATTGTGACAAAATCAATTATTTGAATTTAAAAACTAGACCACTTTTGATAGAATTTCTATGGGGCAATCTTTTAGTATGTCTTTTTATATAAAAAAAAAAGAATTTCCAAATCAGTTTAGAATTGACGGAGTTATGAGATAACAAATATAAAAAAAGACAAAATACAACTGAATTGAGAACCTCCTTCTCTTTAAAGTTGGTTGATAATCATCATACCAGCCTTTAAATGTCCACTGCTGAACATAAGCCTCTCCCTTGGGAGGTTTTGCCAGTAGTTGCCACGCTTAGCAGGCGGGTTGGCAACCGAAGTTAGGCTTTAGAAATGTTTTAAGAAGGATGCAGCTGCCCATCCCTCGCCCTTCCTTAATCGATTCTTATGACACCCACGAGAAAAAAGGTGTGGCCTATTCTATGCCGGGCACACGGGATAGCATGGTTGATAATATTAATAATCTTCTCTTCCGACCAATATATATTCAGTTCGACTTTAACATTATCCTCCTTGAAGACCAACTGATCTGACTTCTTTTCCCCACTAGCTGTATCTCGCAGCTCTGCCCGTGTGAAACAGTACATAAAGTATCCCGTGTGCTAAGTTAGGATATAACCTACCCATCTTCCAAATTGAATTCGAATCCATTGGATAGTTTTTGCGTTAAAGTGTAACAAACATCTATCTATCATTAAAAACTTTCGCATTTTATTATATGAATAGTGTAAACTAAAAGACAAGGTGATTAACATACATTTTCATTAAAAATAATAATAATAAAAATTCACTTGTATAAAATTCATGTAATTTTTCAATCGACTTCAGAAAGGAGGTCCTCAATTCGTTTATATATTTTTTTATCTTTACCTCATAACTCCATCAGTTAAATCATTTGATTTAGATTCTTTTTTTTTTTTTTATCAGTTTGTCACAAGTGAAGTTTTTTTTTTTGTGGGATACAATCTATATTATATAAAAAATAAATAACCCACCTGTAAAATATAAAATAGGCTACAGCCAAAAGAGCAAAACCACCAAAGACAATGAGGCCTCTCTTGACAACTCCAGGATTGTTCAGATCCAATGGGGTGGTTTTCATAGTTGCTGTCTCATTTTTTACTTCATGTTTTTCATCTGCCACTGTAGTTGTCACTACTGTTTCATTTGCACTAGTCACATTTCCTGGAACTAAATATGATGAAAGATTTAATATTAACTTGAGATTTTGTAACATCTGGCAAATGATCTCAGAACACTACAGACTTTAAATAAACAGGATGGCTCAGTGTTTAAAAGATATTTTAAATGTTTTCAGTCATTCTTAAAAGCAGTTAATTTTACCTTTCACTTTAGATATTGAGTTATATAACTCATTATATTAAATGCAATAATTTGTAATTATGGATTTGCAAGAAATTTGGTACATGGGTAGGTTACATCCTAATTTACCACATAAGATAATATTAACACTTGATTCACATGGGTGAAATCATGAGATAAAGCTAGTTATATATTAGCCAACAGGCCAACACTGTTTAATACTTACATATTTTTTTTATTTAAGTCTACAGCAATTATTGATATCTAAAGTCATAACGGCAAAAAAAATATTTTATATTTTTAATGGATAAACTTAACAAACTCTTAACATCTTTTGAAAATTCTTTCACCTATAGAAAACCACATTATCAATAAGTAACATGAGCTGTTTTATTTTTAAAAAATATTGATATTAATGTTAAGCCGGGATAGATCCCTAGTAATATGAATTACAATTAAATGAAAAATATGTATTTATATGGTTATGTGATGCTTATCCCTACTCATATTATAAATATGAAATGAGTTTGTTTAATACCTGAGAGTGTTAAGAGAACTTAACCAATTACTATGAAATTTGGTATAGACATATTATACAGGATGGAGAAGGTTGCTAGGAAAAGCTAGTCTTAAAATATTTATGATTATTGTTTTACATAATAATTTTTATAATCATTATTATCTAAATGATGCAAAAAAATTTTTTAATAAAATAGAACATAGAAATATGTTTCACACAAGATTATACTTGCATATATGCAGGTATTTTTTTTTATACAACTTAGAATGGCAAACAAGCTGACGGCCCACCTGATGGAAAGTGGTAACCATTGCCTATAGACATGAGCAGTACCATGGACATAACAGAGTATACTGTTTCGACCATGATACCCCCCATGCATTGCCATTCCTGAGGACTCAGATGTTATTCCTCTGTACTCTGTAAATTCACGCCATATCCCACCCTTTACACCGAAACACAGCCATGCAAACACAACTGTTTCATGGTAGAAACTTGAATGAGACAGGTATCTCTATCCCAAGCAATCGACTTTTGTACAAAATCTCCCTCTGGTATATAAAAAGACAACCAATATTTGCATAATCTAAATAAAAAATCATATGTATGTTCAACCTAAATATTACTTATGTTCTTAATTTCATGATTAGTTGTACATATACTAGAATGGTAGTAATTTATAAGAAGATAAATAAGCCATTTTTTTAATAAAGAACATTTAAATGACAATATACTTAATGATTATTTACTGCCTATTTATCAACCCTGCTGCACTACTACATTTATTGGAGGTTGACCTCCACATTGGTCCTCTGAAAAGCATTATGATTAATGTTGAAATATCACTATAAGCCAACTAACTTACTTCATCCCTCACCTATCATACCTGGTGCCCCGCTAGTGTATACCAATAGCATAGGCTGAGTAACTATTTCATTTTCACCCATTAAAAAAAAACTATGTGTACCTATATATTAACACAAATGCACAATTAGTTCCCACATGTTTCTAATTGGCTGATGACTAATGACTGCAAATCTTCCTTCAGTATGAAATTGTACTCTATGATACTCAATTCAAATAATAAAATGTACTTATAGTGTACATTTTTATCTATTTTCCTGTTCAAATGTGTCATGGATTTTTTTTTTAATATAATCAACTTATAAAACCTACATGGGGTTTGTTTGTAACATAACCTCCTCAAAACTTTGATAAAATGGGCAGAACTTGCCAAACAAGTTAGCTTGTTTCCTATTAAACTTATCTAAAAATGTTAGCCACAGTTCTACATACATAATGGTTCAAAGTAACAGAAAAGGGAGTCCAATTCACACACTAAATTTGATTCAAGTTTGTTTGAGTGTATAATGTAAAATGATGAATTTGTAGACAAATATATAACCTATTCATTATTCTAATTTAATAATATTAATATATATCAATAATAATTAATATAATTTCTCATTATACATTTATACAGATAATATAAATCTCCATAATACACTGACAGAATGGAAATGTACTATTAGTTAAACCTATAGTATAACAAATATAGATCAGATTTCTATTAACAGACAGAAATTAATTCAATTACATGATTCAAAACGAATGTATGAGGAAAATAAAATTATAAAATAAATGAAGAACAAAATATATCAACAGATGGTTTTTCCATTAAAAATTAATATAATTAAAAACAACATGAAGAAAGAAGTACATTTATAAACATAAGAAGTGGTCTTTCGAGATATACCCCAATTGATAATAATCTTATAAGTAAACTTGAATAAAAACCATAAGGTTTCTCAGAGCTATCAATAAGCTTATTAACTTGACATCTTAGATGATTAATTTTATATAAACACTATTGTTTATGTTTATTTCTTATGGAAGTCTAATAATTTAGGTATGAAACTGCCCCTAAGGGTATCCACTGACCTATTATTTGCTATATTAATTATTTTCACATAGATTATTTATTGAACAATAAGGTATGGCACTAGTTAACCAGATAATTGTATACTATTGCACAATAAAATTGTAATATTAAATTTATTACCTTTTTGTATCTCAGGTTGTTTTTCAATGGTAGTCTGATTCTTCTTTTCAACAGGTTCCGGTGATGAGTGCGCTGGTGGATTATTAACTTGATTGACCACCTCACCGCCTTCGGTTTGAACCTGATCCTTTACATCCCGCCTTTGCAGCTTAATCATCTTCGCTGCATTATGAATGGATGGCCAGAAAGAATACGAGAATCTCCTATCAAAATCACTATGAGATACCACTCCATTTCTATGAATATTCTGAGTCGTTGTTGCACAGTTCAAAAACAATATCAGAAGGGTGCATCGGATAATCATAATTATTATTATAGATGCTTATTTCAAGAACAATAATTATTAACTTTGATTTTTATATATAGCTGCGAAAATTTAAAGAAAAATATTTTTGTTTATAAAACTCCAGAATAAAAATGAAGATTACTAGTTTCAAAGAATCACAGAGTACTTAACTATAATACTACAATCTACAATTTATACGTCGCTGGCCGATGTGATGTATAAAATGGATCTGTGGCACTTTGAATAAAAATTATTTGTATGATTTCTATGTAACAATTAAATTAAAATATTTTATATTACAACTAACTATATCTTTTATATGAATACCATTATTTTTGATAGACAAAACTACATTTTTAATAAATTCATGTATATATATATTCATATATATATATATATATATATATATATATATATATATATATATATATATATATATATATATATATATATATATATATATATTATATTGGTGTGGATAAATAAGTATTTTACTGAACTAAATATTATCTTGTGAAAGTTTATATCACATTTAATTAGAATTATTTTGTTTAATCTTACTACCATTAGTATGTGTGTGACTGCCAGCGCTTGGAAATTGATGACTATTATTACTACCCTTACCGCTGCTGAACGGCTCCGAGCAACAATCTTATAATTTTAAAACATGCATGGACAAAATGATAGTCGGATATTGATGGCTAATAAGGGAGGTTGTATAACTTCTGGTGATAAGTGGTAATCAATCTTTGAGTGTTGGCAGTCACACACATGCTAATAGTAGAGGAATTGAACAAAATTTTTATCTAATTACTAGTGAGAACTCTAGAATCACAGATACATTTTAAGTTTTGTTAATGTAATCATAGTGCCTACTCTTAAATAACATAGTAATAATCTGTTTCCCATAGATGTGACTAAATATACTTTGTGATTTTGACGTTTAAATGAAAGATGACAGTGGGTACTTAGGTTTCAAAAAAAAGGAACTGCGTACCTGGATACTAATATTAGAAGTTTTATCCTCTTTTCGCCAAATAAATTAACTTACGAAGCAACCATATAAGTTACTATTTTTATTTTACCATTCTTTTTATGTTACTCCTTATTCTTAGGGTACGATCGTAGAAATAGAATTATATGGAAATGCTAAGAACGTATAAAAAATATATTGAAATAGTAATAGAGCCACGTTATTGAGCCAACAAACAAATAAAAACGTACCTTCTTAGTCGTAATGATTAATAGGGGCTTAGCTATTTAATTTAAACGGTAATGTAAACATAACGCTAAGTACAAATTTCATCAATTGGTTAGTTCAGTTTATTTATCTGCAGGTCACTCAGCCCATGAAAACGATCAATTCGTCACCATGGACCAATTGACCTGCTTTAATTCTCAATTATTATCTCTTACTGGTATAGATGGCTAATATTATATATCTAAATATCGATTTTTTCTCAACATTAATGACCACCTATTGCGATATCACCAATACCGGTTTGATATTTATATTCTTTACGAGCGGGTTCTTCTTTTCGATGTCATATATTGGATAACCGATAATTAACATATCTATTATTGGACCAATATATTATACGTATATATATTGTAAGTATAATATTACTAGATATGGCACACCCTTACTAGTGCCCTAGTAAAGTACGAGTATGTCTATATATAAGAAATATGTCTTATATTATATTTAATATATAAAAAGGTGAAAGGTATGTCGCGACATAAAATTAATAAAACTAACAATCACATATAATGTATTATTTGATTTATTTCAAATAGACATTTACATATATTATTAATATACTTTAAAGTAGAATTTCCAAATTTTAATTTTTGGTATCTCTATATAACACTGATTGAGTATCCACAGTATGATAATAATGTTATACCTAACGTTACAAACTTCGGTACATTTTGTTCCAAACATTTAAGGTACACAGTAAATATCACCTACAAAATTGAACAAGTTAGAAATAGTATAGTTTTATCAAAGGACTTACTAATAATAATTTATGTTGTTAAAAACTTCGGCAGTGATAAAACAAGCCAAACACGCGGATTGTTTCTATTTCACAGTAAACATTCATGTACATTTTAGCAATAGAGTTCCCAAAAATCAACACGATTGGACTCTTGAATCTTACTTACTCACTCGGCATTAGTAATAATTTACCGTTTATAATTTAGTGGCAACGCACAGTATAGTCAAGATTTTTGTTTGAACTAACTGATGCCTGGTAGTGGGTACTGTTCAATGAAAACAGCATAGGTACAACTTGTGAGACGTCATCTTATCTATTTGAAGGTTCAAATTCAAAATCACTAGCTAGGTGATTCTTTTCCTTCTCACTAATCCAAATAATTACTAAACTAAAATATTATCAATACAGACAATATTTTAAGGTAAGACAATGATCTTGTCATAATTATCTGTAAAAAAATATGTAATAAATAATAGTAGACAAATTAAAAACATTAGAGACGACGTTAGAGTCACTGTCTGCTCATATCACTAAATCTAGAGAAAATAATGTAAAAATGGCAATTCATAATTGATTTCAAAAGTCTTGACTATAGCATACGCAGTCTTACAACATTAAAATATAAACCAGTCAAAACGAACTACACTCACTCGAAATCTTACAATGTACCTAAGCACACATTTCTCTCAGACTCCTAGATCAATAAGTTACAAAGTTACCTTAAAAGTTAATTTACAAAATTAATAAATATATTATAAATAATTGAGTATGAACTATTTTATACAAAATCCATAACATCAAAATGATATCACGTGTCATAACACGGTGTTTTGTAATGACACTTCAAATATGTGTGTAAAATTAGTCAGCTTATAAAAATAGATTGCACATAAAGACGATTAAGAAAATACTTGCAGAGAAGATCTTAACGCAATGGTGTTCCTTAACTTACAAAAGGTATAATCCAAATTTATAGCGCCAACACCGCAGTTTGTACATTACTTGCAGCGAATAATAACTATCGAGTATAGAAGAACCAATAACCAAACGTTACAAATGTAAAAAAACCTACTGTTGTTGTCTATTAATTAAGTAAATAAGTATGTATATTATCTGAATTCGCTATAATTAGCGATAAAAAAGACTGCATTAAGATTGATATATTTTTTAATAATTCGTGGCCCCTTGCAATAAACTCAAATACCCAAATGATCCAACTGTATCAAGCATTTTACTGCAGCTTAAGCAGTACGTTATCTACTTTTGTATTTCTCTAAAGTTAAGTAAGTACATATAATTATATGTAATTTATTTCTCGACGCTTTAACTACAATCTTACTTTTATCGTATTTTAACTTCCAATAATAATATCTCTACTTGCTTATATCGAATTTACGTTGGCTAATAAATCATCTGAAACTTTAAATATAGTAATTAAATTTATTTTACCTTCAAAAATATGCAGCGATATCTAAACAGGATCGTAAAACCTATCTCCTGAAAATAGACATTCAAGACGTTTTGCACCTTTATCTCAAATACAAAGCCAGATAATCCTAGTGCATTAGCATCAATTTGATACATTAAATCCCCTTTGAACCAACAAATATAAAATATTGTCGAATTTTAATCAAGCCTTAACCCTAAAACCATGGCACACAAATTATTTCTAACAAAGGAGGGAACTTTTCACAACTGGGGATTATTTCTATTATCATGTTTCGTTTATATGGTTTCCATTTATAATTCTCTCATCGAAATATTAAAAAATTCACAAGATCTTAAAAAGCCGAATACTGAGCAATTCTGTTTACGTATCTATTAAAAGAAACAAACAGGAAAATATACATGTTTGGTCACATTAAAGTCTCCACAGTCAGTCTTCCAAGAAACAGAGTTTATTATACGATACTGTAAAAATATGGAATGTGAACATAAAATAAATAGTGAATGTATGTATATAGTACGAAACAATGTGATGTTTATCAGAGTAGGTATATCCGGGTGCGTCACGGGTCAACTACATATAAGTCATTCCGGGATAGCAATTGTCACCTTTGAATTTATTAGGCAATCAAATCAGAAAGTTAGGTACTGTACTAAATTCATGATACGATTCTATACTATAGTATAACGCTTTATCATTAGTTGATGATGCCAAAACTAGCAACAAATTTTATATTTCTAACTACAAAATTGCTGTCCCGGATAAGGACGAAATCAGTAGTGTTCTCCTTATTCCTGGCTAGGAGATAGTCGACATTGACGATTGGAAAAGATTCCAATATTCCCTGTTTTTCTAGGGCGCTCACTCCAAACGCGCTTTGTAGCTGGTCTTCCAAATCTCAGCAAGAGTTACTGCTGAGTGGAAGCGATGGAAAATGCAAAGTGGTAGAGTGAACCGCTGCACGAGTGACCAAGCAACGAAACCATAGAAATCCAGTTGTACCTGCAAGTTTAATTTATTGAAAGTTTAAGCATTACTTACTGAAAATCGTAGTGAGTGGCAAGTGCGCCACCGATAAGAGCGCAGCTCTTAAATAGGATAGACAGAAGTGTTACTAATACAAAATTGCATTTAATTTCACGATGAATGTTATTAAGAAATTATTATAAAATGTTAATGGCCATTCAAACCTGGTGTTGAAATTTTTGTAATGTACTAAGTTAAATAAAAATAATGTAAAAAAGGTAATTCGGTAATTTCTAAAACGTCGCCCATATAGAATTATAATAAATTTATTATGACTTGTCCATGGTGCTATTTACGAGTATGCCTATAAAAAACAATTATTACTTTCCATCTGATGAACTGCTTGTTTTCTATTTCTTATTGTATAAAAAATTGCAGAAATATATACTCACTGGACTAGCAAGAACTTTCTGCGCTTCAAAAGTATAGATGAGCCACATGGTGACATTGCAAATGAGAAGGAAGGTGACGGCCTGGCGGGCCGGCTTGCTGCGCTCTTGTTCAGGTAAGTGGACGCGACGGCGCGATACATCGGCGATAAACAAAAGTTGAAGTACCACCTGAAATTAATGAGACTTATTGAAATAATCTGATAAAAATATACTTTTAAATGTGAAAATTTATTTATTAGATATTGTATTTTTAATTATATTAAAATCAATAAAGAATAATTAATAACAGTAACAGTATTCATTAGAACCTACTGCTTATCTACTTAAAATATTAACTATTCTTCGCCTAAACAGGGTAAAAATCGGTATTGTTGTTTATGTTAATAAAATAACTGTCGATATACAATGTATAAGTACTTTTATGGTTATGCTTAACTTATTGTTATAAAATTTGATAAATATAAAAATTGTATTTGGAAATGAAAATAGACAGAAGTCACTTTTTATTCAAGCCAATAAACATATACCGATCGCGCGGACAAAGTTGAGGGTAAAAGCTAGTAAATCAATAATTATACACACCTGAAGCACACTCAAGCATCCAGTGATCATGACAAGCAAATTCGATTCCTTGACAAAGGCACCCATTCCGCCGGCAATCACGCTGAACACAGCGTAGACGAAGAGTCCAAATGCAGAGACGCGGAGCAGAATGTCATTCAGGTCGGACTGTTCTTCAGAGCGGAACTTCAGAGATTGCACCCTGCGGAGAGGCTCGGTATAGGAAGGGGGGTTTGAGCTCCATTTCATTACTCGACCACTGGTCATATTAGATTTAGAAATAAACCAAAAACGGTAACAAATAAGAAAAATAAAATAATAGGTTGTGAATCAACAGCACGAGTTGTGCGACAAAATAGGAATCGTGAATAAAGTCAAACAGTTATAGGAATAGGAATGTGGAAGGTAAAGGAAGAAAAACAAAAATAAATAAAGATTAAATAAAAACAAAATACGAAATGAAAAAAAAAATAACAATAAAAATAAAAATTTTCTTTATTGACTAAAAATTTAAAAGTAATTCTTTTTAAAATTCATTTCTAATATAAAAAATATATATAAATTCTTACCGTATGAATCCGATTAAGATGGCCAATATAGAGAGAACCATCAATGCGCAATGAGACACGTCAGCCAAATAGATCGACAGGCGCTTCAATTCATGGTGTCTTATCAGTACGAAGAAGAGGATCAAGCAGATGAGAGACGCGACGAGGAGGAGCAGTCCACAGAAGAGTCCTTTGGAGGCGCCTGCGCAGTCGACACGGTTGCCACGCTGTGCTGCCGCGAGTGCTGCTGCCCTGCGGGAGAGAACAGCCTCCAGACGTCTTTCCAGATCTTCATCGTTGGCCACGCTGCAACCAAATGCGCGTTGGCATCAGTCACGTAAGTACGCGACAATGTCCTTAGTTTCTCTTTGCTACTCGTGCACAAAATTTTAAGCTACTATTATTGTTATCGTTATGTTTAACAAAATATTTAAATTAGTGTCAATAATTAAATTCTAATGTTAGTAATAAGAATATAGTACAATAGTGATAAGACCATTGGAATTATTTTATCATATTTTAATATAATTAAAATTGAGAAAATGAAGGTTTTATTTTTAAAAATGATTTTATTAAGGAGTGTTAAAACTAATTATATATAAAATTAGCAAAGAATATATATTTACCTAGGATAGCGGCCAATATGTTTCCACATGACATAGATGACAGCAGCGCCGATAAGAGAGTACTCGATAATAAAAGGGTACAGGTAAGGCGCCGAATCAGAAACGATAGTGCCCATAATTGGATTCCTTCCACATACAGTTGTATTATCGATATTTCCAATCAAAGCTGCCGGGTTCAAATTATCAAACGACTCGAAGATTTCCGTTGAGTTGTTTACTGAAAAGAAATATTTAAAATAAAGTTTTCTTAAAACAGACTGTTAATATTAAGTATTAAAAAAAAACTATACTTCTTTTAAAGTATGGGTCTATTGCCTAAACACAAACATGCATGGAAAGTATATAAAGTAAAACAGATATAGATGACACTTATGTGCATTTCTCAACTAAACTTTTAAGACAACACAAAAATGTACTGATGACAATCTGCAAAATAAAAGTGCAACGGCGAAAAATTAAACGTGAAGGTTCAAAACGACACTCCGACAAACCTGGCGAATGTGGTGGTTCGTCTACACGATATGTTTCGACACTATTCCCCCACTCATCTCTATCGGTAATGTACGATCCAGAAGTCGAAGTTGGCACCATAGTTGACATAGTGCTTACGATTGGTTTGAAAGTCGAAGAGAGCCACTGGAATACTTCCAACATGGCTGTCTGAGTTTGAGTCACTTTTTCTGCCTCCGTTGTTAATGGTGCTATAGTGGAGGTAGTAGTGAAAGGATTATCGTTAGGCCACGCGTCTTTGGAGTCGCGACCGAATTGAATCCCATTATCGTACCCTACAGTACTCTTTATAGTATCGATCAGTTTTGATTTAGGAAGGAACCCACCACCCATATTAAAGTATGGTGAAGGAGTGGTCGCTGAAAAATTAGTCGAAAATATTTAAATGTTAACACGTACATGCATATTGGTAAGAATGTATGCCTTCCACAGGGACACCGTGTTAGTAATAGCAAATATATCAATGAAATGATTAAAAAATAAAACGTACTAGTGGTTGAAGTGGTTGTAGGGGCAGTGGTTGTGACCACGTTCAATATCTGCTCGACACCTGTCTTTGCTGTAGTACTAACAGTCGAAGCAATAGTAGTTGCTGCAGTGGTCGCAGCACCGAACACTTTACCAGAATGCCTCAATGTGTGCTTTCGTATGACTTCTGAAAAAATATAGCTTTATTATAGTTTTCAAAAGAGTCACACTTGTTCTCTGTGTTTATCAATATAAATGGCTTGTATAAATTTAAAAGATTAAAACTACCATTTTTTAATTAACGCCTATTGATTGTTGATATTCACATCATCTTAACTAAAAGTAATTAAATTTATTTATATAATTATTTTTTACAACATAAAATTGCGAACAAGATAATGGATAGTTATAACCGTCACCTATAGACATAATTAGCACCAAGGACATCACAGTGTGACATCCGTGGCTATGTTATACTTTATGTGATGTCATTCTTGAAGATTATAGTATTATGCCTAGGTAATTTTATTGTCATTATCCCCCTTAAAACACAGCCATAGAAACACAGTAGTTTCGCCGTAGGAACACAAGTTGAGTCGAAAAAGACCTCTGTTCTTTGCATTAAAAAATTTTCCACTTTGAAGTACTGTATAAATTCTATGAAAATTTGGTATGGTATGTACTATATTAGATATTATTTCCAGGTTTGTACGAACGAAGCATAAAGTTATATTTCAATATAAATGTCTAAAAAATATATAAAAATATAAAAATTTCATTTAAAATTAATAGGTTAACAACAAACACTTCCCGTTCAAAATCTCTCGAATAATAAAACAAAAAAGTAATAGATATATTTTCCTCACTTCCAAGTACGCCTTCTCCGGGAACACCAAGTGGATTTTTCACGTGATAATCTGTTATTTCCTTCAGAGACTCAAGTACCAATGTCCGAATCCAAACACAGATATTTGTGGCAACGACATGCATTAAACCAAAACGAGCGATCACTTTGAAACGGTGAATATTAAGCTGAAAGAAATATTGGACATATGCAATTTAAAGTGTTATAAATAATAAAATATAACCAAAATAACAATAATAAAAGTAACTTACTCGTGAATTCATGAAAATAAAGTACATTTGCATAAATGTAAAGACCATCTGAAGGACAGGATTAACACCCTTTAAGATAAGGTAGCAAGGCGAATCTAGTGGCAATTCAAAGAACGTTCCAAACTCTAAGCCATTGTATATCATTGTACCGAGGCCAAATGCTGAAAACAATTAATAAATGCACTTTATTACTGTATAATGTCAAACAAATTTTAGGTCCATAAATTAATAACATTAAACATTCTATATTACTTACCAATAGCACCGATTCTAAGGAAGAAACTACCATGGCTATGATCATTTTGGGAAGTTTTACGTCGACGCACCGGTCTTGCAACAGGGCCAGCCTCCATCTCGACAATATCTTGTTGCTATAGAATAAAGAAAAAAATTAATAATTTATTACTAAATTATGCTAATTAGGATTACCTTCATAATTTTGCTTATAATTCATGCCACTGCATGAATTATTTTTGTTCAAGTCTAGTTAATAATAAATAATTCAAGAAACCAAACGGAATTTTCCATTAAATTTTAACAGTTATGTATATTCTTCACGCCTGTCTCCCATTAGAGTAGGCAGAAACAATAGAACGCCAAATGTCTCCATTAAACATTAATTATAAATTAAACTTAAATACCAATTTATGTGGGCATTTGAATTTACATTAACGATTTTTTACAATTATATATCCTTACGTTTGGTGATTATATAACAAATTTAATAATTTTAAAACCTATTAGCGGTAACATTTTCTATCTAGATAGGAATCAGCATTACGTTAATAAAAAATATTGGATATACATCCTACTGCCTAAGATTACTCTAGACTCGTAGCAAGAGCTTGGAAATATTAAATAATCTTATTAGTTTACCTGAACATTCTATCATGAATGCAAAATTAGTATAAAATATGCAAATAACGAGTAAATGGGTATCGTATTTATTGTTAATCTTATAAACATATTTGTAGCGTCACTGCTGACTAGATCAAGCTGTAAATGATTTTTTATTATGATTACCGTCTTGCTTAAAATCTAGGTCTCCAGCATAGTAATAGATATTATTTTAGACAAGACCGTTTTGAGGTACATTGACATTCATATAATTAATAGATGGAGAATGAGTATAAACATGAGAGTAGATATATACAGAGAGATCATTACATAAGATAGTTTTGCTATGTGCAAACCGTCACACACAAGCTTTTTTTGTTTGAGGAAGCATGTAGTACATATAGCAGACAACAACAAAAGCACTATTGCGAACAAATGGCCTACATCAGCACATCCAAAGCTCTTCGAAATTATATGATACACAAGTGTTCAAGCGTGATGCCTCAATGTACCTCACCTGTTCGGACGCATACAATTGCGCCATTTGAATTTGCAATTGTTGTTGACGAACTTTATCGCGCATCTTACGTGGATACACCTCCTGTCCAAATGATATGGAAAAAACAAAAAGTAGGCAGCGTAAACAAAAAGGGGTTCATGCGGCTTGTTACGTCCTGACGAAGCTTTGAAGAACCAATAGTTCTTTTCATGGATGGCTAATTAATAAAACTTGCGACAATGTGCGTAAAATCAGTAACATAATAATAGAAAAAATCATAATACTGAAAATATATTGAAATTAATAATAAAACAATTATGTGGTTATCTAACACAGGACGACACGCTTAAGCGACAAGAGTGTGTAATAATGTTAAATACATTATGATGGATGTGCAGCATAATTATTTAATGACGTCACTTACCTGAAACTGACTTTGTTTCTTAGACTCTTTGGTTGGTTTTTCTTTACCAGCATCTTTTTCCTTATCTTTGTCTTTGGACTTGCCATCCTTTTTCCCGTCTTTCTTTCCATCTTTATTCTCTTTTCCATCTTTCCCTTCTTTTACATCTTTATCTTTGGTTTTCTTCTCTTTTTCTTTTTTAGGTTTCTTCTCTTTCGGTGGAGGCTTCGGTTTTGGAGGACTTCCACTGCAGCATGCACTCTCTAAACAAATTTTTACATGAAGTTTTTATGACAATGTTGTATAATATGTTATCAAAATTCGTATATTTCATACTAACCTTGAAGTAGGAAGCAAAAGACGTATAATAAAAACAATATGCTCATGCCGTATAGGTAGGTGAAGAAACCCTCGTAGTAGTACAGGGGTAAATTGTGGGTGATGACGTCGCTTATGACGTAAGCAATGCATACCACTACTAAAAGCTTCGCGTAGATGAAACTTGATATGATGAACAGCGAAGTTCTGAAAATACAAAACAATAAAAATTATACAATATTTAAAAAGGGAATAGAAGTCCGTTATTGTATTAATGAACTTATAAATGTACAAAAGGTATTTTTAACATTAATTCATAAATTTTACAAAAAAAAAAAAACAACTCAAAGTAATATAACCTTTGAAACCCTAATTAATCTGAATTCAACGTCACTAGATCCTGCCAAGTTGTATTCGAATCTACTCGAAATACTACGAAAAACGAAAAATGTAAGTAAGGACTAACCGGACTGCCATTTTGGTTTGGTAATTACTACTTTACAACTATAATAGTCAATAACTGCCTCTTTAACTCATTTACGTTTATTTATTTCCTTAATACATAATGCAGATCAATCAGATCGGGTATAAAAACAGCGCATTTTAAATTTATTTGTCAGAGAATAATATTTTGCTGTTTATTAAAGCGAGCTGTAACTTGTGCTTTATAAGAGAAAAAAATAATTCAAGTGAAATAATTAAATATAAATTACTTCCACATTGTATTTTAAATTATAATATTATCTCCATAGGGTAACGAACAGTCAATAAGCATATTCATGAGTATGGTCATAATAATTAATATGCACCGAAATGTAGTAAATGTTAGGTGAATAATGTAAAGTATAGGTTTACGTTCACCACGAAAACAAAGTAATTCATTCAAAATGTAACTACGGCCTGCTAAGATTATTACTCCTAAATATGTGTTTTCAGAAATGGTAATGCATGATGGGTGCTATGGGTATCACAGTGTAGTAATATTCATGGTAGGGGGAAGGGATTGGTAACACATCAGGTCAAGCTCCAAGCAGTTCCCCCTAGAAACCATCGTAGTTAATTTTTTTGGAAGTCGTCACGATGGGACAACTGATCTGTTTTCATCCTCACCTATCTTGCCTTACCTACTGGTGCCCCGCGATAGCGCAGGCGGAGTTGCCATTCCATTGTCAACGATTAAAAAAAATATTCATTATGTAGATCCTATCTATAGGCGGCAATTACTTTTTTTATCAGTAGACTGTCAGCTTGTTTGCCATAAAAAAAAAATATTAAAGGACAATGTTTAATTTACATTGGTAAAGTGAGTGAATATAATATATAATCAATAAGGAGGTGTGAACTAATCAGATAGTTGGTAACTACAGCAATACTACATTGCTTCCCACTGTGTCTACTTTTACTCCATATTACTTTTATGAATACACGTCCAATATAAATTGAATTAATAATACCTAGTAACTTCCTAAAAAGCAATTCTGCAAATTCGTATTTCGGTTTAAAAGTAATAAAGTTACTAGATAAGAATGTATAACACCCTAGTTCTTAGGGGAGCCACCACATCATGGGCGTTACATTGCACTCTGTTATATCCATTGTATTCAACTTTTCATGTTTAAATAAGCAATGGTTATCACTTTCTATGGAATTCGGAATATATGTTACGATAGAATCAAATAACAATTGTTTCTATCATAACAAGATTAATAAGAATTTAATACGAAATTATTTCGGTTGTACAAAAAATTATTTAAATCTGTACAAAATAAAATAAGTAAGATATTGCTTAAAATATACACAAAATAATGCAGGCCACGCCTACTCTTATAAAAAGTCACTTAAAAATATTTTCATACATCCGACATTAGTTTTGATAGTTAAAAATTAATTGTCGTTAAATACTTAAATTCTTGAATTAAAACATTAAAGCAAATTTCGAAGTTGTTAAATTTCATTCCGTAATAGTAACAAAACGCAGTAAGTGCCCATCTCTTTGTGCGCGCACATACGCAACGCATTGTACTACATATGTATATACGTAGATACTTGGTTTTACACTAACACTTTAGTAAATGATATTAAGTGCCTATTAGGTATTCTGTAGCGCTACCTATTAATAACTAATACCGCTATAAAAACTACTAACATCTATAACATTTCACTGCTTCACATTGGACGACACGGAATTCAATTCATAAAAGGGAGTTTATCAACTATTCAATATTTTCATTCCTTCGTCCACTTACAACATACCGTGCTTTTTCGCTATATTTTCATAAAGTAAAAAAGCGCAGTAAGTTACATCCAACATAATATAAGTATTAATACGGCTTTGAGCGCGTTAATCAATACATAAAGTATCCTATATGCTATGTTAGGCAACTCTATCCATATTCCAAGTCCCCTCAAATCCATTTATTATTTTTCGTATGAAAGAGTATACATCAATCCATCCATAGAAACTTTTGCATTACTGTTAGACAGTAGCAAAATTATTCTAATTAGTCTTCACACCAGGTCTTATACAGAATAGGAAAATAAAACGAATGCCTGTAATCCGTTGATCGGTCTTCTTTCATTATAATTATTCGATTTATCTACGCCGGTTCTGAGGATTTCAGAGCTTTTTACACAATATTATCCTATATTCTAATCACAACATCGTTTATCTAGATTTTCGCCGGTACAATCCTGTATGTAAATATTTATCATAGAATTCTAAAAATAAGCAATTCTTAAAAATATTATTGGGACACAAATATATGTACCTATTCAAAAATGATAGAGGCGCAAAAAATAACACTATTGGCGTATTCTATGCAAATCGAATAAATCATACTTTTTCGATGGCTTGGGTTGCACGCATTTCAACTCCATTTCTTTGTTCGCGGTATTATGCTTCTCGGCGATTGCGATGTCGCTGCCTTGTTGCCTGTGTTGACCCACCGGCAGTGTCGCCATATTGTCCACCGCTTCCAGGTCCACGGTGGCCACCTTCACTTCAGCCTCGGTGGGCTGATGCTTGTCCTTCCCCATCACTATCACTTCACTATACACGCGAGGAACAACAAAATCTACAGACCCATAGTAAGTGTTGAAGGGTTAAGGACGAAGGTGAGGGTAGGGCACCGGATCACAAGGAGCTCTTTCAAGTCAAAAGCTCCGGAAGTATGGAGGTGCGGCACAAGACCGTGCCTCCGGCTCGAGTGCGGCGAGAGTTGCGCAGTAATGGATGCTGCGCGACTGAGTACTCCCGAAACAGGGGCGGCACCGACCCTCCCGAGTGCACCCTATTTTGTCGAAATTGCACTCTTAATGGCGAGAGGGTCGTATTTTCTATATAGACCCGATTATTGCAAGAGCGAAGGGTGGAATGCGCTTTGACCGTTACATTCATAGTATTTATTCATCCTTTCGTATTTTAAAAATACATTATTAAATATTTTTGATAAAGATAACAAAATAAATGATAATAAAAACAACATTGTGATGATCTTTTAATGACCAAGATGGGGTTTTGGTAAAAACAAAATGAGTCTACTAATAAATGCCGATAAAAAAAAAGTTAAAAATTACTTAACATTTTGGCAACCCTATAACAATTGGCGACAAGCGGTCGATAGAGGCGCGTCTTTCCCGGAGAGCTTTTGGGAGGCTGCGCGAGCGACCCACTGACCCGGCCCCAACACCCCGGCCTCACCCACTCAAATATACGACAATCACAGATGTAATACGCACGTAAACCGGTGGCAACCCTAAAAATGCACATGCATACGGAATATACATAAAAGTAAGACAAAGAAAACAACGTATGGTTTAATATTATAATAAATATCTTAAAGGATGTGATAGATGTGTTGCGCATGCCCGGCTTCCTTAAAGATGGCAGACCTTCTTAGCGTTATAGGGGCGATGAACTCTTAGATAAACTCTATATATCACTACCTATTCAAATATGGTACTATATATTTAGACAGAGTTGTAGATTCATTTTATAAAAGTTGACGATCTGTTTGTTAAGTACATAATCATACCTATACTAATTATTAATAGTAACTCCATGGTGTTTAAAATTTTATTGTACTGCAAATAATTGTCCAGATAATATGAAAATCATAACCAACTAATATGTGCATCATTTAGATGCCAGTGTTAATTACAATTAAAAAACTAACGCAATTGATGTATTTTACGTCTTAGATGCATTATATACGAGTCTATCTACGTTTTGCCGAAAAATATTGCGTATTTGTAATTAAAGGTCATCGACTTTAGTTCAGTACAATGTCTATCTTCACGCCACATCGCTCAGGTATCGGGTATAATAAATATGTAACATTAGTGTAATATTCATTTATATTTTTTTTAAAGGGATTATATCGATATTGGATACACGCCAATACAATTGTGCCCTTATAAAATGCTTTTTATTACAGGGTAATTGTATTTTAACAAATCATAAATACTGGGTTTAAACCTGTTTTAAAATAATTGCCTTTCATTTATTCATCATGAATATAACATATGGACAGTCCTTCAATCTTATAGTACATTCGTATATATATAGTAGACAGTCATATACGCATACGAAATAAAATGTGATAAATCTGACTCGATCTATAATATTAGTCATTTTATTACCCGTCCTCGTTTAACTGTTTATTATATTCGCTATTCAAACATATATACACAGTTGTAAATGTTCTAATTTCGAATCATAAAAATTCTTATACACTAGCTACACACCGTAGTTTTTCTGCGTAAATTAGATCAAAAGGTATCAGAGAAGTTTCATTGAAATCAGTTCAGTTGTTAAAGCATAATTGAGTAACATCTTCGCAAATTTTTACAATAACGTTAGTAGGATAGTGAGATTAGTCTCAATTTGATTCAACACATTATATATCGACAAATGTTCAGTGTATTGTCAACTAAGACACTTATCAAACATTGCTGGTTCCAAGGATCAAGATATTATTCATAATTCGTCAGAGAATTTTTCCTGTTTTCACACGATGCAAATATAAACAAAAGAGTACAAGATATACCAGAGGAACCTTAACTTTGAGTAATGTGATTGTTTTAAATAATATTGTAATAATAAATTTAATTTTTTTTTTCTGTTTTTCTCTGAAAATCACCATACCGTCAAATGATGTCACAGAATAAAAACAGCAGCTCAATTTAGTATACCTATAGACAAAAAC